CATCATTTTACAAAGCCTACATAAATTGTTGCTCAAGTTTACATGGATATTAGCTAACACAATATAATATCACACCTAAAACATGAATTAAAGAAAGGCTGAAAGCTTTTAACCTTTTGTAGAAAAGTAGTAATGTACTTTTGTGTTTTGCAATAAAACCTTCACACAGATTAGGCTCTCATTAACTTAAAAATACATTTAAATTGTATCTCAGTGTAAAAAGTAACATGTAACTTTACATATCTTATTGATAACAAGTCCAGTTATAGAACACAAATGATAAATAAATTTCCAACATGTTTTTCTTTTAAGCCTAAAATTACCATACAACTTTAGAACACCAGCTTGATATAATGCTCTTTTAAAACTTCTACCTTACAGACTTGTATACCTGGAAGATATGGACACATTAACACCACAATTACATTGATGTTTTTATATTAATCAAGTTTAGCTTTTTAAAGAAATAACATGGCACAATTCTCTAAAAACAGTACTTGTTTAACCAGCTGTTTAATTTCTTTAAGATTACTTGCTCAAAAACTTACACTTATAAGCAACTTACACAGACCTTTTTTATATCATTTACTTAAACCCTCTTAATTACTTAATCATATAGACTCTTATCCAGAAACACATTTTCCCTCTATTAAATCCATACCTAGAACCTTCTAGTTTCTCTTTTTCATCTGTTAACCTCCTCCTGTTCACATTTTGAAACAATACTTGTAAATTTTTGAATTTAAGCAGATTTAACATTTTATTAGGGCCTTTTTGAACATCTAGAAAAACTTATAAGCTTAATTTTAAAGACATCTTTACTTTCATCTGTTTACCCAATTTAAATTGAACCATTTGAATCACGTGAATCAAAAGATATTTGGATCCATTTTTAAAAAATTTTTCGTGAGCGCTCCTCATCTGTCAATTGTCATATCCCTGCATGATCTAGACATACACAAAGACATACCGACATACAACACGTAACACAAGTGTAACACAACACAATAGTAAAGGCCTTAGCTTTTTCAGGTGAAATCTCATTGCAATGTTTAAAAAAAAACTCCAGTTGATCAAAAATAGAACTTATCAGAAAAACATTAACTTGTCTGTAGGATCAAAATCATGAGCTCAAAAAAAATACAGAATCTAAGAAAAAAGCAAAAGTCCTAGAAAAAATTGACCAGCCAGTAATTAGTAAATGCCATACAACTTACTCTTTGGTTTAATCTAGTTTAAGTTCCCATAAAAAGACACTTTACTCTTTTTTCTTGGGCCTCAGGTCTGTCTCATACTGAGTGCTCTAGTCTTCTTCTATTTGCATATCAACTTAAGTCCTGGCTGAGGTCTGGAAGGAACTGGGAAAACTGGAATTCTGAGCAGAAACCTCATGCCTAAGGCATTTTAACCATAAGTCACAATTTTCAGGTTTGGATGTTGAAAATTATGATACAAGTTTAAGATACAATTTACAAAATTTCATACCTTTACATTTTCCTACACTAGAAAAACTTGCTCACACAAAACTGAAAATAGGATCTCTACCATCAGAAGAAATTTCTTTAGGATCATTAAGTCACTTCCTTTGTTCTGAAGTTCCTAAAGTAGTATTAAGTTACATTAAATCACCTGAAAAAAATCTTAAAAGAGAACCACACACTACCATGTATATCCAAAATTAAGCTTTAAAAATTTAAGACTGTTGCTATTCAATGTTATTTCAATAAGCCAGACCAACGTTCCAATTCAACATTTTTTTCCTAAATCTTACACACTGGAGGGGGAACAGATACCATATCATAATTTACTATCCTTGCCCAAGTTAATGCACTGGTACACCTAGTGAAATCTTCTCAGGCTACCCAGTTCAAAATAAAACTAAATGATTGGGAGTTACTTGCCAACTTGGATTTAAGTTCTCCGGCATGAATTATCTGGAATCACAAACTAAACAATTACCTAACCAACTTTTAACTGCAAGATTATGCAGTGCTTCAAACTCATTTAGATACCAGATGTTACAATAAAAAAATCATCTTTTAGACACACATTTAGCCAAAATCATCCCCAAGAAACAATCTATAATAACCTTTAAAATAGAGAGACCAGATAAGAAAAAAATCTCTCCAGGTTTTGAACTTCCATTTAATTATGACTCTTATCAGTGGCACCATAGATTTCCTCATGAGTGGACCAGATGTTTTCACATAGGGGCAGCTATAGGTGTAAAATCAAGGGTCTCAGTGTGACTGACTTTACTGCATTCAGTGTCCCTTCTTTTTAAGTGGACAGAGATGGAGCAATCCTTACAGTGCAGGGAAGAATGAGGAAATTCCCCAAAGCAAAAATGGCTCTGGCAGCTGCTGGGAACCCTCAGTTTCCCTTTTACTTACAGGATTAGCTCCTTTGGATAGATCCAATCCCAGGCAATCTGGCTTATCTCCTAACTTTCCAGGAGAGTCAGTTTTTATCTGCCTTAGGTCTTGAAGGGGGAAGGGGGTATGTACTTTGATCGGCCCAAATTTTTCTCTTGATTCTTTTTCCTCAGTGAGTCCAAGATTTTTTCTCTTCATGGCAGATATCATAGCTAAGTCTACTTTACACTGTTGGCATAATTTAGGATTTTCCCTTAGAGCAAAGAAAATCTGAACATACAGCACCTCACACCATTTCCTTTTTTGTAAATTTTATCAAACTGTAAAATTGTATTAAAATTGATATTTCCCTCTGGTGGCCAGGTTTCTTCATCAGAGAGTTTGTATTGAGGCCAGGCCAAGAAAATGAGGCGCTTTTTCTTGAGCGTCTGAGGTTCAAATTTTATCCCAATTTTTCAATACGCAGGCTAGTGGTGCACCTGGCGTATTGGAGAGAGAGAAGCTCCTGTCTGAGTGAGAAGAACAGGACTGGAGAAAACTGTTCTCATTAGGGACGTCTCCCTAAGCTTGACCTTCCTAAATGGTCCAGAAAACCCGTCTCTCACCTTGCTTTGCCAAGGGGTTTCTGGTCCCCTTTAGCAAAGTGCTAGGGTCTCAGTTTGCCCTGTGCCAGAGACCCTGGGAGGATTCAGACTTAAGGGCATTACTGCTTATCCTCCCGGCCACTAAAAACCCATTGCAAAAGAAAATCATGCACTCTTTTGTTGCCTTTGCTCTGTAGACTAAAGGAGCCGCCTAAGTGTTAAGGGATATCTACTGGTTGTAAGGTAGCAGATTACCAGAGGAGTTGATTCTAAAAATGCCTCTCTAGCAGCTTAAGGAACACAACACATTTTAAACATTGGGGCGGTAAAACAGACTAGTGAAATTTACCTATGCATCTTAGGGAACCTGGGCAGATTTTGCTAATTATCCCATGCCTTTCTCTCAGTCCTACAACCTGAATTGCTAACATTTCTGACCTGCGAAGGAAGGGGAGCATCCAGGAGGAATGGATGCGAGGTTGGGAGTGTTGCATGGCCCATACGGAGGCAAATGTGATTGGGGCTTTCCCTCAGTGCCATTCATCTACCGATCACCCTAGATACCCCTGAGGGCTGTCGGGAGGGGGCTCAAGAGAAAGGAACCTTAGGAATCCTCTGAGTGTAGCCCAGACCGGGATTCCGCAGTTGTTCCAAACTCCTTCCTCCACCTCCACGCATCCAAGGCAAATCGGGATTCGGGACACTGTGTACTCACGCCAATTGCTCTCCAGGCCCAGGCAGAAAAGTTGGAAGCGGCTTTGGCAGAACCCAACATGCCTGCTCTGTATTGAACAGGTGATTGAGAGCTGCCTAGGCCGGGAAACCTCTCACCCGAGTCTTGAAGAGTGGCGGCTGCACTAATTGCGTTTAAGTAGCCGTCGGGTGCCCACCTTACCCTCCAGAAAGAAAGAGAAAGATGCACCTCAAACAGACATGGGGTGCGTGCACTTACCTCGGTGTAGAATCTCGGTCTGGGACCTCCAATATGATACCGCTGTTGACCGGTGACGAGTTCTTGCTTCCCCAATGTTGAAGAATAACACCAAAGAAGCACGCCGAGGCAAGGTCAGAGTAGAAATTAGAAGTTTATTAAAGGACAGCAGAAAAGACTTCTCCCGGAGGAAGAAGGGGACCCAAGAGGTGGAATCCCTGTTCTGTAGTTTTCTTTCACATCTTTTTTTAGATTGATCCCAAAGTTGTTGTTGGGTTTTTTGTTTTTGTTTTGTTTTTTGAGGCTATTGTGAAGGGGATAGTTTCCCCGATTTCTCTTTCAGCTGATATGTCCTTGACAGAGTAATGCAATTGATTTGTTGATGTTGATTTTATACCCTGCTACTTTGCTGAAAGGACTTAAAGTCAGCTTACTATAGTGATGCAGCCACATCAATGTTTATAGTAGCTCAATTCACAATAGCCAAGCTATGGAATCAACTTAGGTGTCCTTCAATAGATGAATGGATAAAGAAAATGTGGTATATATACACGGGGAATATTACTCAGCCATAAGAAGAATGAAATTTTGGTATTTGCTGGTGAATGGATGGAACTGGAGACTATCATGCTAAGTGAAATAAGCCAGTCACAAAGGCCAAATGTTCTCTCCTATATGTGGATGCTAACCCACAACAAGGGAAGGTGGGAAGGGAAGAATAGAAGTCTTGGATTCTAAGTCTTGGATTCTATTTTTTGGATTAGACAAAGGGGAAGGAAGGGAAGGGTGGGGCGGGGAATAGGAAGGACGGTAGAATTAATTGGACATAACTTTCCTAGCCTTGTATTTGAATACATGACTATGGTTACTCCACATCATGTACAACCACAAGAACAGGATCCTAATTAGAATAAGTTATACTCTGTGTATGTGTAATATACCAAAATACATTGTATCTTCACATATATCTAGAAAGAAGAAATATTTTGTTTTAAACTAACAGCATTTGAAACTGAGGGATTACAGTTATGTCTTCTAAGAATAGCTGTCTTTGTGTAACTTGATTGGGTGAGCTGTTTTGGGAAATGCTAATACCTGTTTCTGATGCAGGTTCAGTCACCTGTGGACTCTGCCACCATGTCTCCAGTAGAGAGGACAGCAGCATGGGTTCTGAACAATGGACAATATGAAGAAGATGTTGAAGAAACTGAGCAAAATCAAGATGAAGCTAAGCATGCTGAGAAGGTAGAGCAGTCTATCTTTATTGACTTGTTGCCTCCACAAGTCTAGGCCGCTAGAAAGGAAAGCCAACAATTATGATCTCCTACTGCCCCCATCTTTACTCTTCCTCTTAGGTTAACCCGATACACACCAGTGCACAATAGGTCAGTGTAGCCTCTCTGAACATGTGTGAGAAATGTCTACCATGCTGCAGGGGAGGGGCTTAGATATAATATTTTTATATAGATTGTTTGATCTGGAGGACACTCTGATATTCATCTAATCATTTTAGCATTTCTATAAACCAGTTGTTAGTCTTCAACCAAGGACAAAATTGCCATAGAACTAGATTTTCTATTTCTTGGTAACAATTTGACTTGGAATTTGGGGTTTTTTAACTGTTTGGGTTTTGCCTTTTTTGGTAAAGAATGTCTAGCTGTACAGATAATTTTTAAAAAGACATCATCTGATGTTTTGAGGGCTTTTTTTTTAAAGAAAGAAATTTTAAAAAGGATTATCAAACAATAACCTTGACATCATGTATAGCATTATCACATTTAATTGACAACCAGACAATTCACTACTTCTTACTTATTAGTATAAACTGTGCTTATTAAAACAGTGTAACTCTTCAAACCTTACCTTTGACTTTCTGGAACCATAATGTTGGGTGAGCAACAGCTGGTCATCAAATAAATTAGATAATACTATGTAAATTGCATTTTACAATACACCATGCAGGTTTATCACTAATTACTAATAAATATTAAAAAGGCATATACTTCTCACCTTACCTAGAAAATTTGACATTCCATTATACTCAGGCACCATCCATGGCAAATTTAGTATAAAAAAGGATCATGTAACCAACTGAATTACTGAATTTCTATAGGCTGCTTAGTGAGAACACAGATGTACATTCCAGCAAGTGGTGCCAAATTGAGCAGATGAGCCACATCATGAAAATAGCCAAGAGTCTATTTTAATCAACCCTAGAGAACAGGTAGGCCTTTGCTTAATGCTTATGACTATTTTATACTTTCATAGCTAGGAAGAAAGCAGTAATAGCCTACTCTGCCATTAAATTCTATTTATTAACTTAGTGGCTTAACATTATAGAAATATTGCTTGTTCTCTAAGGGCTGATTCTAGTAGCACGAAGGAAGGGCATTCTGATAAGACAAAATATGTCAGAGATCCTGTAGTACAAGTGATGATACACAAATAACTCTCTCTTATAAGATGGCCAGCTTTTACTAGGCTTCTAAGTGTTTGTTCTTTTCTTTTCTCCCATTTGATACTATCAGTGATCAGAGGCTTGCAGCAATTGGTAGTTTAATGTGGAGAGAGGTACATAAATCTGTAAAATTTTGAATGCTAAATTCAGATTTAAAATATGTCCAGAAGGAGGGCAAAGCTTTATAAACATTTATGCCAGGTGATATATATATTTTTTTTTTAAGAGAGAGAGAGAGAATTTTTTAATATTTATTTTTTAGTTTTTGGTGGACATAACATCTTTATTTTATTTTTTTTATGTGGTGCTGAGGATCGAACCCAGCGCCCTGCACATGCCAGGCAAGTGCGCTACCGCTTGAGCCACATCCCCAGCCCAGATATATATTTTTTTAATATTTACTTTTTTAGGTTTTTTTTTAAGTGGACACAATATTTTTATTTTTTTTTATGTGGTGCTGGAGGATCAAACCCAGTGCCTCACGCATGCCAGGCGAGCGCACTACCACTTGAGCCACATCCCCAACCCCTATACCAATTGATATTTTAAACATCAATAGCAGTAGTATAAGGAATGGCAATTTAGAAGCATCTAGCCACATTGCCTAGGGTTTCTTTCATTAAAAAGCAAATCACTAACTTCTCCTTGTTGTTGTGGGTGCTTCTTCTCCTTTACTCTAGTATGAACAAGAAATTAGCAAACTGAAGGAGCGCCTAAGAGTGTCTAGCCGGCGACTGGAGGAATATGAACGCCGGTTGCTGGTGCAGGAGCAGCAGATGCAGAAGTTGCTGCTGGAATACAAGGCCAGGCTGGAGGACAGTGAGGAGCGGCTGCGCAGGCAACAGGAAGAGAAAGACAGCCAGATGAAAAGCATCATCAGCAGGTTAGAGGACCACCTGGTGGCAGATGTGGGCTAGTTAGAGGTACAACAAGGTGGGAGAATGATCCAAACACATTTAAAGGCATGGCAACAAAAGCCATTTCACCTGTGGTACTCAGTACAGATATGATGACTATCTCTTCAGGCATCCTAAATATGAGACCTAGTGTGCACTTCTACGAAGATCAGGTAGGCTTTTTCTTTAACCATAACAATTATATAAAAGGAAAACTTAGTGGCTCATTTGAGAAACTTTAGAAGAGAACTGAGTTTTAAAAATCTAAGTATCCAGTGACTAAAACTTAGTTTTCCAGAGCAAGTCCAGAAACAGAAAGAAGTTTCGCTAGATGTCTGTAAGGGCCAGAGGACCACAAGAGAGTGCCGCCAGTGCCAAGCCAGGGGAAAGGGGAAGAGGTCAGTTCCACTTGCACGTCTACAGAGCATTCACCATAGGCCAGGCACTTTCCTACAAATCTACACTTGATAATGAGAATTATCATTCTCATTTTACAGATAAAGAAACTGGCAACAGACTCACTAAGTCTTTTGCCCAAGGTCACATAGTTAGTGGTACACCAGAATTTGATAGCAGACAGTTGGACTCCAGGCTTCAATATTGTCAAATGCTGTGGACAGGTCAAGTGAATGAAGGACAGAAAAGGACTGTTGTTTTAATAGTATGGGGGTAATTGACAGTCTTCCTGGGTTGAAATGTGAGTGGTGGATGAGAAACAAACTAGACCTACTAAGTGTAGAGTACTCTTTGAAGAAACTGATCTGTGTAAGGGAAGAGAAAAATAGGACAGTGAATATCATGCAAGTTGAGGTTAAGAAAGGATAATTTGTTCTTTATTGATTTGGTTTGATATTTTAAGATAAAGTAAATTGTGCTGAGGGAAGAATCTGATAGAGGAGAGAATGATTACAGGACTTCTGCTCCAAAGTATCTAAAAATGGATGGAATACAGTTACAGTTAGAGAAATCAACCTTGGATGTCTACTTCCAAGGTGACAGAGGGGAAAGAAGAGAAGATTGTAGGTCTTTATTAAGGAAGAAGAGAAATCTTGAACTATGGTGAGTTTTTAAGTTTCTTGTTCTCACATTACCTAGCCCTGTCTTTGAAAGTGTTGATACCCCCTTGTTGCCACATTCTAGGCTAATGGCTGTGGAAGAGGAATTGAAGAAGGACCACGCTGAGATGCAGGCAGTTATTGATGCAAAGCAGAAAATTATTGATGCACAGGTAAGCAGACTCTGGATCTAGTAGAAGGTACTCATTGGTAATAACTGTTATTTTCTGACTTCCCATCCTTGCAAATGGCAAAGCAGGTATCCTAAAAATAAGGCATTGAGAAGTTCTTGGCATTATCTTTTGAAGATTAAATCAATTTCTACATGGCCTCCATTATTTTTCCTTTCTTTCACTGATGACAAGTCTATTAACACAGCAGAGTATTAGTGTGTTTAGTACAGTTGTTTGACAGATCTCAACCGAGTGCATGATGGGCTTTGCTTCTTTCCTTGTGGAAAGGAGGGCATTCTCTGAGGGGTCAACTGTGAAAAGTGCACTGCATGTGTCTGGCTTGTGACTTCCACTGACCATTGCTTGGCTGTGCTGCTCACGATTTTGTCAGTCATGTCCACTGCCTCTGGCCCCATGAACTTCTGGCCCCAGACAGTAATGGAATTGTGAAGGAAAACAAGGTTGAAGAACGCACCTTTCCTTGTTATTCTTTTGGTTCAGGGTTTGGCATTGATGCTTGGAATGTGCTTGGCTGCCCTTCTTTGTTGGTGCTGTACTTAGAGAGTCTCTTTAGATAAAATTTTATAAGAAAAGGTTGATGAAATCCAAATCTAGGTCTCTGTTCACAGTAGCTTACACCTGTGACACCACCTGGTCACCTCATAGAAATACATCAGTGATGAGAGCAAAATTAGGCAGGCAATGTTTCTAACTCCTTTTCCTTTTATCAGTACAAACTGTGGTTGTTGTATTTCTTGGCATGAATCAAATAACAAAAGGCAGATGCAGTTTTGATAATGTCCCCCAGCCAGTGAATGGACCATCTCTCTGAAGACAACCAGCCATGTTTGCATTTCTCACTCTTAAGCTATGAAATGAGTGCAAAGACTTTATGCATAAATGTTCTACTGTCTTCTCTCCATATCAGCCAGTAGTCAGTGTATATTAGAGCCTCCAATATTCTTAAGCATGCACCTAACAGTCTAGTTTTCTTACAGGATCAATATGGGATGGGTTTGTTTTTTTCAGGAGTGGGGCTGAAATCATAGTCATGAAAGAATGCTTTGTGGGCCTCCTTCTCTTTGAAGACACTAATCTTAAGAGTGAAGAAGGCAGTTTAATTAGGAAAACTAATCCTGATAATTTTTCACCCTTGGAATTTGTGCATTGTGATGCTATCTCATTCGTGGGGCTCCCAAAATATTTTGGACTCTTGAATCTGAAGATTCTGGATATTTTAACCTACTAAGAACCAGAAGAAAGATCTGCGGTTATTTTACTTGGTCCCTTATTTAAAATCTTTCTCGGTACCCCATAGTGGGTAAGGGAGATGTAGTGGGGACAAGGCTACTTTGCTGTACATACTATCAAAATTCTTCCCAGAGATTTTTAGCAAAACAGCTTGGATAAAGAAGGCGGTTTAATTAGGAAAACTAATCCTGATAATTTTTCACCTTTGGAATTTCAATACAACAATATAAAGCAGGGAGAGATTTAATAACTACACCAGGAGAGATTTTAGTACTGGTGAGATCAAATAGAATTTTTTATAATTTCAGCTAGTCTAATGCAATCAGTCTTGAGCCTAGGGAGCCTAGCTGTGCCATGTTTGTGATTCTGTGCATGTTGGCTGACAGAACAGCTCCATCATTAGCCTCTATCGGTTTCTACACAACCAGCCCCCTATTTTTGACATCAAGGGGGCAGACAGCTGGGTATGTAGCAGAAATCATAGTCACAGAGGAGGTAATGGTCAAAAACTCTGGAAAGAAAGGACATCTTCTCAGTTAACCAGAGGATGTCACTGTGCAAGGATGGGAGAAATGCTGTCCTCAAAGAATCAATGTTAGGCTTATAGGATGGCCTCTTGACAATGGTTGTCAAATAGTTTTGTTCTTTAGACTATTTTGATGGAACCAGTATCCCTTCTATAATCAATATCCGGCTGCTCCCAGTAGCCATTCAACAACAGACCACTTTCAACTAATGGGTCAAAACATACTGGGGTTGATTAAATATGATAGATTTAACTTCAGATTTTACTATGCAATTAATTATTTTAGCAGAGACTCACTGTGGATCCCTAAAGAATACTTGGAGAATTCACTTGACCACATTTTGAAAACCACTACACCATGCATAGACAATTCATAACCACTAAAGACAATTAAAATATGTAGTGTTCTTAAAAGGAAAGTGTTTCAATCCCAGCTGTTGGTTTACTGATATGTTAAACTCTTATAACAAAAGACTTGAACATACTTTGGCATCCTTTGTAATGAATGATTTTGTGTTTCCAATTCTTTCTTGTAAGACTAAACCTTACTTCTTAAGTGTTTGATGAAGCAGAGCAGCCCTTCTGGCATCATCTATTAGAATGAAGCTGTTTGGCGGTGAAAAGCTTCCCAGTTAGGTAGCATACTTTTCTATCCCTGAAGTATCCCTTGGTGCCACTGATAGTAAAAAATATTTCTAAAATGAATCAAGTTGCTTCCTCTATGGTAGAGTGAAACTTCTAGTACTTCTCACTCCTCATCTCTCTTAGCAGCCCTGTGCTCCTGCAGGAAAGACTTGTCCATACTGAATTCAGCCTCTCCCTCTCCTTGAATCAGTTCATGCTGCAAGGCACAGGCCTGTGTCAGCCACTTTCTAACTAGAACTACAGAAAGATGAGCACTCCGTGGTTAAGTGGTAGAATCACCAGTCCTGTACCTTGTAGCTCAGGTATGGAGATCCTAATGATGGTACTAAGGAAACACTTCTTAAATATCAGACAGGGAATGTGCCACCCTTCATTCCCAAGCATGAAGGGATGCTGTGACTCTCAGGTTCTCTCCATGTAACTCAGATGGAGAACAGAAGGGCTTCCTCCCATGAGAAGCAAAGCAGCTGCCTGGTTACTGTTGCAAGTGATATCTCCACTGTGTTAAATTACAGGTCATAAATGGAAATGAGATTATTCAAACAGGCAAGTAAACCCTGTCCGTTCTCTAGCTGAGCAGTTCCCAGCCTTGACCCAGTGCACTGGCCTCCTACACATTCCAGCTCCTGCCACTCCCCACATTGAAATCCTTCCTGTCAGGCATAATTAGATTGCTTTGCCTTCCAGTTCAGGCAGTCACAATGTCAGAGCAGTTTTTGCCAAATGAGCTTGACTTTCAAAAGTTCCTATTTGATTTTTTTTTTCTCTTTTTACTTTTTGTTTTATTTTGAGGTTGGCAGTGGGGGAATCTTTTAAATGAAATTTCTCCACTTGAAAGCTTTCAGCTGCATAGTGGGGGTATGGAGGCATTGGCTACGTTATTACTTTTGTATGTAATAAGAATTTAAATCATTCTTAACCTTCTTTTTGACTCTTTAAGAGATGAAAGAATGAAACAGTTTAAGAATGAAACAGATTTTGTGAATGCTTGATTTTTTTTTTTTTTTTTAATGAACCCTGGAATATCCTGCTTTCCTTAGTTTTGAGGCCTTAATAATCTACTACAGAGATCATTCCTTACCATACAGGGTTGGGGGGTAGGGGGCAGGGAGCATTTGTCACTACCTATTGTTTTCTGGTAACCACTGGCCAGGCTTTTAAAAGATCTGAACTTGTTTTTCCAGTAAATTCTACTAGGTATAATTTTTCAAATTTCTTTAAAAAGCCTTATTATCTTTTGTTTGTTGAGTTTTTTTCTGTCCTTACAGTGAATTATTCCTCCCAAAATAAAGAAGTATCTTATAATTGATTAGTAGTTAGTTAATAATGCTAATTTTTTTTCCCCTTTTTTTTTTTTTTTTTTTTTTTTAGTTTTGGTATTGAGGATTGAAAGCAGAGGTGCTTTATCACAAGGCTACTTCCTAGGCATTTTGTTTTTTTAAGTTTGAGACATGCCTTTACCAAATTGCTGAGGCTGACCTTGAACTTGGGATCCTCCTGCTTTAGCCTCCTGGGTCACAGGGATTATAGGCATGCACTGCTATACCCAGAAATAATACTGATTTTATATATCTTACCATTCCACTTCTCTATCTGGGAAAGGAATTTTTTTTTTTTAAGAGAGAGGAGAGAGAGAGTTTTTTTAATATTTATTTTTTAGTTTTTCGGCAGACACAACATCTTTGTTTGTATGTAGTGCTGAGAATCGAACCCGAGCCGCACGCATGCCAGGCGAGCGCGCTACCACTTGAGCCACATCCCCAGCCTTTTTTAAAGGCTAATCATAAGTAGGAAGTTTTGGGTTGGGTTGTTTTTTTGTGGTTTTTTTCTTTGTTTGTTTGTTTGTTTTATACTTTTGAAACTGTAGCTAAGAGCACTGCTGCCGTACAGATTCCCCCTCTCCCAGCAAAGTAGGAGATGAAAGGAAAACATTGCTTGATGCCATTTTTGGGGGGTTTTACCCAAAATTTACCCCCAAAGACAGTGGTGTTCATTCTGTTTGTTCCTGGCAGCCTGTATCCTGGCAAAGCCAAGCTACATTGGTGGCGCTTGTAACTACTGCTTTTATAGCAAGGAACAACAGCAACTCTCAACCCTCCTGCCTTCTCTCTGAACCTTACTATGACTCCAATTTACCATGATTTTTCCTGGGTACATTTTTTTAAATTAAATATTAAAAAAAAAAACAGGATAGGAAATCTCCTTTTGGCTTTAGGATTGTTCCTCTTGGGCTCTTTTCTTTTTAATTTCATGAGCATAGGTAAAGATTGTCCTTCTCTGTGTAAGCTTATTTTCTGAAAATGATGGATTCATGTTGGGCAGTTTCTGGGATGTTGTGCCTAGCTGCTGAAGCTAAGATGAGTGTCTCCCCCTGGTCTTTGTGATGAGATAAAATGGTTTTTTAAAAAAGAAAACTTAGCTTGCCCTACTTTTCTTTAAATTACTTTTTTTTTCTTTTTTCTTTAAATTACTTTTCTTTTTTTTTTTTCTCTTTTATTTAAATTTTTTTACCCTTTCTCCCCATCACCCCCTTGGTTTTATTGTGTGTGTGTATTCAACAATGCTTGGTTCCAAAATATTGATTCTAAAGCATTATTTTTTCAGAGACTCCAAAGTAAAATGAAAATATTCTGCGTATTGAACAGCTTTCCTGGAATGATTCTGAGCTGGAATGGGTCTAGGAGCCCGTGTTCTCTGTGTGTTCTCATGTGTTATGTTTATAGCATCCCCCTTTTGGCCACATCTCCCTCCCTATATTCAAATAACCCCTTGGTCTGAGCTTTTGGCTGCTCTTATCTCCTCTTGCTCTTGCATCCTCACCTTGTTGGTGACTTTAAACTGCCACCATGTATTGTTTTAATTTTGAGCACAATGTGAATTCTTTCAAGTGTGACTGTTATGCCCTTTTGGGGGGGGGGGGGTCAGAACCCATACATAGATCACATGCACTTCTCTTCTGTGAAATGAAACCTCTTGTGCTTCTTTCTTTGCCACCTAATTTCCATGTTCTAATTTTGACCAAAAGTGCTTAAAATACAATAAGGCAACTTGACACCTCAGTTGTATAATATGAAGAAACACTTGGTGTCCTATGCAATGGACAGCCTAGTGTTCCAGAGATTATTAAGTCTTGATATTCTGAAAGGAGAAAAGAGGGAGAAAAATAAAGAGAAAAGAGAGGCAGCTGAACCTAACCAGTGTGCAGAAAGAGGCAGAGACGTTCCATTTATTTGGGAAGCACCATGCGTACTGCTGTATGAGAGAAAGCATTGGACTAGTCATCCAGTAAAGAAAGGCCATTATGTCCTCCATGTAGCCTGAATAAAGCCATGGTTATTGTGTTATAGGAAAAACGGATCGTGTCCCTGGATTCAGCCAACACCAGACTGATGAGTGCGCTGACCCAAGTGAAGGAGCGGTACAGCATGCAGGTCCGCAATGGCATCTCCCCCACCAACCCCACCAAGCTTTCCATCACGGAGAATGGTGAATTCAAAAACAGCAGCTGCTGATGGGCTCTGTGAATACAGACTGTGGAAGGAGACAAGGAAATTTACCAGCTCTCCTGTCCCCAGCACTTTACCCAGCCCCTACAGGTTTACAGAATGTTGCTACATCAAAATGGAAATATGGGGAGAAACTCTTAAATGAAGAAAGGAACCTTGTCTTTCAGGGCATAATGCAAAGACTTCCAAGGTCAATGCTTTCCCTCCATGTCTCTATGTACATAGGGAACTTAGTTCTGGGCCATGTACAGAAAATACCACTGTAATATACAAAAAGGAAGTTAATAATGTAGATTACCTTTTTAATTATTACTATTTTTATTATTGTTTTCCTCTTGTTGAAAGCACTGCAGTTGTTAGAGGAGGAAAAGTAGGAACATGTATGTGTGAAATATGAGCCTATGGGTTCAGTAGGTAGAGACCAAGTTGTCTATCTGATAGAAGCACATAGAGTGCAATAGAACATTGTCAGAATGAGTTTTTTCAGGGATTCATCTGCCGGTTTAAAAACCCCACTCTAGTCCCTCATCTTTTAGGAAAACATGCAAATACCAAGATCCATACAAAACAGTAATTTATGCCACTAATCAACCAAGACTGGTTCTGTCAGGCAGTTAATTAGATTTGGGGATTTGCTGTTTCTGAGGATACAGATAAAAGTAGTTGCATCACAGCCGGACTTTAGGAGTGATTTCTGTTGAACTCCTGTCAATGTTTATTTCCGCTGTCTATAGCAGATGGAAATTTTCTGTTTTAGATAATGGGGCTTTTTAATTTTTACTCCTGTTGTAATAAAGGGTGTTCTTTTTCCTCTTTACAGTTTGTAAAACTAAATATTTGTGTCTCTGTATGCCATCTCCATTTTCACATGTCCACTGCCCTTTCCTCCCCATGGTGGGAGCAGTCATCAGTCATCAACAGGATTACTCTCCCCTGGAGAGGTCATTCAAATATGCTGTGCTTAAGCCATTCAAATAAACACCCTTTCTTCCACACAGAAAAGGGCTAACTACAACATAGCAGAAATCTCTATTTCCTGTTAAAAATATTTTTTTTTCTTTTTGTAAGCTGTAATTTTGTTTGGGATAAAGATTTTATCCATTATACTAGCAAATCTATGGGCAAGGTAATTTAATCTCCATCTTCAACTTTTAAATTGCTTCTTCCTCAGTAAAATTTGGAAAGGAAATCAAAATATGAAGAATCTCTCTTATGAGTGATTAGTCTTGTTTAAAAGAAGAAGGAGAAGAAGGAGGTGGAAGGGAGGGAAAGAAAAGAAAATCAAAAGTGTTAGAATGGCATATTCCAATTGTTATTTCCATGCTCTTGTAGATTTGGCGATAATGACCCAGCCTCAACATTTGTCCTCCATGGCTTTATTATAGGACAGATTAAAAGTCATAGAAAAGGATTTCCTTTTTTCCAGAGGTATGAAATGTCATCTGGAATGCAACTTAGATTGCCAGAAATGGAATGTTACATGTTAAGCAGACATTATATATACATATATACATACACATATATATTTACACATGTGTACATATAATTGCACAATAGGAAATGTTCATGCCTTCTACACTGTCAGATGTACAGCTATAATGTTAAAAGGGTCTTGAATCCTCTTTAAGCAAGATCTAAGCTATTGTTTTATATTGAGAAAGCAACAATGTTTTTCAAATAATGTTATTTTAAATTACAAACTTTAAGAAAAAAAGTTTTTAAAGGAAAAAGGGAAGAGAGAGAAAAAGACCAAGGGAGACATGTGCATAGAGTGAATGTTTCTTATAAGGGAACAAGAGAACAGGTATAGTACCCTCTTGACTGAAGCCCAGACTTAGACACCAAGCCTTCCTTTCCACTGAATCCCAGGCTTGCCTTCCAACTCTTGGACTCTGATCTCTCTCAGGTGGATCTTTGTATTGAACTTTGCATTTCAGCCACCTCACCAGAGCCCCCCAACCCACACGTTTTAAATAGTTTTCTTCATAACAACCCCTGTTTCTTCCAGGCAGAAATCTTTAACAGGAGTTTTTTGTTGTGCTTAGAAGAAATGCAGACTTCATGCCAGCTGTTTGGTACTTGGGTATTTTGTTGACCCTTAGTAGTTTCTGTAAATTCTTTCTTTCCTCCAATCTGGGAGTACACTGTGCTCAAAACCACTCAACAGGAAAAAATATTGCCAGTTCTGAAGTAGTGTCCTTTGTTGGATAAGGGAGGATATAAACGTAGATCTGTTCTTGATTGTGGCTTATTCTCGGCTCTAGCAATGTTTAATCCATTCTTTGTAAAAAGTCTTCAATTGTGCTGCAGAAAAACCTGGTAAAAAGGACTCCGTTTCAGTGGCCTTAAGTATGTAACAAGGGTGATGTCTTGTACTAAGGTGTGGAAGTTCTTCAAGGGTTGGTTATGGATTACAATGGGCTTATCAAATTATATTAAGGGTTGGAAGGAGACAAAAACCAAGTATGTTTTCAGTAAATATCTTTTTAGCATTCTGGAACCTCTTTAGAGGACAATTTGCATTGGATAATTCAGTGGCCAAAGTATTTGGACAGATTATGCAGCCCTCTACCATCAGGTTATCTTGAATGAAGAGAAGAAACTTTAAAAATAATAGTGATAATAATAATGGATAATTAAAAGAAAAAAAGTTCAGAGTTGATGTTAGATGTTAAATTTTAGATTATCCTTTGAGCTTACTCCTATCCAGATATTTTTCTGAGTATTTCTTTAGTAAAGCTGCAATCTGTAGAATTTATTCTGAAAGATTATTTTTTAGGTATGGAAGAAGGCAATTAATAGGGTATAATTTTTATTGGGGTATTGTTAATTGACTTTGCTTCAGCCCATGTAGGCACATATCTTTGTTTTGCTAGAAGGAGGTGTGTGGTTGAAGAGAAACTGATGGATTAAGATGGCAGCCTAGCTCTCCCAATGTATCACCACATGGTAGGGTAAGAATGTACCAGGGTTGAATGGAATTTGGAATTCAGGTAAAGTGCTTGTAAAGTGCTTATCTAGATAACAACCCATCTTGGCCAATAGCAAAGAAAATGTTAATAGAACTCATGCAAAGAGCTTCACATTTCCCTTTTGTATCACTGGAGCAATAAGTTTTTCAGACCAAAGCAGCAAAAAGAGTTAAATTTCCATCAGGCCATTGTTCTTCCTTGAGCCTCTGCAATAAAAGCCATGGCATGAAGGAGATTATAACTATAACAAGCACTTAAGTACTTACTGTGTTCCAGGCACTACCATCAAAGTACTTTTTGGGTCTAGGGCTGTCTGCAAAATGAGGTCATCAAGCAGCTATAGCTTTTGCTTTTCTCTTGATAACAAGTTGGCCAGAATTAGCTTTCTGACTGGTCTGCTTCCACCATTCTCTGTGATGGGGTTGGCCAGTAAAGAAGAGCTAAGATTTTTCTAAGACTGCTGTAGGTATTAGCCTGAGCTTGATTTACAGGGAAAACTTCAGATCTTCCCTTTCTGTGGATTATTATATTGGTTCCTTCCTTAGACCCCTGGCTTTCACTGTGTCCTTGGGGGTACACCAAACTGGGAATAGAGTTCTCATTTGGAAGACCCAGAGAAAGACAACTGACATCAAGAGAGTTTACATTAGTATTTGGTAGGCTTCTATCCAGATTTAGCTCTAGTCATCTCCAGTTTGGAGTTCCTGAAGACTATGTGGGACTGAGCTGAAGGATGCAGACCTCTTCAGGGTTTCCTTAGTCCTGTTAGTCTAGTCCATTGTGACTGAACTCCAAGCTTGACAACCAGACTGGACTTGTCACCGCATCAGACCCAGTGGCTCCAAATTGTGGATTGGTGGTTCATGCATTTTCAGCTACAGTTTTCAAGTCCACCTTCTGTTACCGATTGAGAAAGCCAAAAGGGCTTTCTTCTCTGTTCTCCTTCCCTTTCTCAAGTCTAGTAGTAAAATCCCTTGCTTGCCCCAGCAGTAGTTAGTTGCCTTCCTGCCCTTTTCCTGGGATACTTCATTTTTTTTAATCAATATATCAATTGAAAGGACTTATGCTAGTTTCTTAAAAGCAAGAAATGTTGAGGTGTTGAATTTTTAAATAGTCTCTTTTCATCTTTGAATGATTATTAGTTCTAGAAGCATTCTCGTCGTGACCCAGTTATGAATGCTCTTGAGTTTTGAAAGGACAAAAGTGATGAAATTTGTATGAAATAGGATAAATATCTGATGAGAAAGAACCCAAGGAGGACACATGATCCAGAGCAGGAGTAATGCATAGCAGTCTCCTTAGTAGCCCAGAGGTCCAGTCTTAGTTATCTTGAAATCAACTCAAACAGGAGGATCTATAGCCCTTGCTCTCTCTTAAAATGCATCAATTATAGAAAGGCAGTTACTGTAGAAAATGTACACACCCACAGAAAACACAATTCCTAGGGCTTCCTTTTTATGAATGTTAATGCATTTTATATATCAGTGATTCCAAAACTTTCTTGGGTTTTTAGGTTTTGTGTTTTCATTTATTAGATTTTATGACAGTCATTCTATTCTCTTTAAAATGTACTATATGTGTTATATGTATATATAAGTTAAATGACTTGAACTTGATTTGGTTTGACATTGTCTCAAGAACCCTAGATATCATTACTGATACCATAAGGGAGTTAAAGAAAGAAAGTTGAGTATCACTGTAGGACACAGAAAGAAGTAGCCTTGGTTCCTGGGTCAGTTAATCCTCACGTGTTTGTAACCAGCCCAGCTAGGCTTGGCAAATGCAGTGAGCCATCCAAGGAAAGAAAGTGGTACTTTTGGCCCACAATGCAGCATGCATTTTAATTTCCTACTTGATGGATATTTTTCATTCAAATGCCCCTTATTGTTTCCCTAGGAAGTTTTAAATTTTGGGACTTAGAACCAGATCTATATATTGGTGCAGTAGAGATTTCCACAGAAGCTGTTTTAGGGGCCTCCATCATCTGTGTGAGGGTGCAAATATGTATGTATAAATACCATATCTGTGTCATTTCCAAGCTCCCAAGGGAAAATTTCAATTCCCAATTCACCAAAAGGTCAAATACTAATCAACTCAATTACCACTATCTTGCAACAAAACTAAAACAAATAGTAAAGGTTAAATTTTGACTGGTGCTTAGACATTTCTTAGTTATCTTGAAATCAACTCAAACAGCAGTACATTTACCCAGATTACACCTCTGATTAATTTACCTTTTAAATTTGATTTTGTTTCTCATCTCCAGGGCCTTAATAAGAATGTGTTAATACACATGAATATTTTACAATGATAACTCTAAATAATTTATTTTTTATTTCAAGAAGGAGAAATACACCTTAGAAAAACAAAACCCGAGATTTGATTTTATTTTTAAAGCCATATTTTTGTGCTAAGTAGCACTTAGATTGTTCCATATGTGAGATCCATATCTGCATTTCATTACCTGGGTTTGTTCTAAAGAAGATTTATTTTTGTTCTGTGAATAATTTTTGACGGTTCTTGTACATGTACAGATATAGATACGTTTGAGGTCTTTTATTGATATTCCTACAAAGAATACAAATAAACTTTAACTTTAAACATTTCAGACTAAAATTGCTACTATATTTGACATATTACTATCTTACTTCTAGCATGCATCTGGGTTCTGAGGACATGTGAACAAAACAGAATGAAATGTATGCAGGGACATTATTCTGAAGAAATATATTTTAATGTTAGGAATAATGTGCCTTAGAATTTCCCAACTTACAGGTAAAAATAACCAAAAAAAAAACCCTACTTCTTAGATATAGGACAAAAAAACTACAAATAACTGACATTAACATGTTTGTATTATGTTAGAGAGCTCTTCATTCTGAAAAATTTTGAATTTTTTTTGATAGTTTATGGCTAATGGTTTCTTCCAGTTCCTGCGGAAATCACTACTATTTTCTCTTATATTCCCCAAAGAGATTAATGGAATTTATTTTCAAGATTTTTGTTTGATTCAGGCTTTTTGTCCTTCTTTGTGTCATTCTCAAGGTTATTGTTCCCAAATACTTCCATCTTCTCTGCTTACCTAATTCATTCTATAAAATCCAAGGCGAGGGTTTCATATGTAGTTTTCTTTTGTGTAAGTTTTAGGTCTATGTCTCTTCACATATTCTGAGTTATTTCTAATAGTGTTCTTCTGGAAATTAAAAAACTCAAATTCACTGAAAATCCAGAGAAAACTGCTTAAAAGGAAACTGCTAATTAGTATACTTGTGCTGCTTTTTGTTCACTTCAAAACCGACCCATTTCAATCTGAATTGCTGGTGACCTAACATAAGTTTTAAGACTTCTTGAATCTGAAACATCAAAAAGAAAGAAACAGGGCTGTGAGTATAGCTCAGTGGGAAAGTACAACATACTGAAATTAATCCCAGTATCCCAAAAAGGAAAAGAGAGGGAACTTATTGATGCTGTCTTATGGTCCTATAGTTCTCTTAGCTCTAAGTTATCCACATGTGTACGCTTTATGTCCTGCCATACCCTTTTTTATTTATTTTTCTTAGCCTCCTTCCAGCTGCCTTCCTTTTGCCACTAGGACTTAACATCAGTGGGAAAGTACATAAATCAGTTTTGTTAGCAAAAAATGATGATGATGATGGCAAAGAATAAAACAAATAATTAAACTAATGATTCTCAATTCTGACTATTCATCAAAATCACCAAAAAGTTTTTTGAGATTTTGAGGTTTTGTTTGTTTGTAAAGTAGTGATGCTTCCTGAACTCCACTATTGAACGGATAAATATTGGGACCAGTTTTTATTTTTTGGGTTTTTTTGTTTTTTTGTTTTTTAACTTCTCCATGGGATTCTAACTTCAGCCAGGGTTGAGGGCCACTACTCCATATCAAGTTCTAAGCACTGTGTGGGGATGTGTGTTAGAATGTTTTGTTTCCATTCCTGAAATGGGGATAAGACAGCTACAGGTATTTCCTTGCCTTCCATTTGGAATTTTAAATGCTACAAAAACTGATAACGTACACCTAACCTTCTGCCCCCACCTGCAAAACACACACACACACACACACACTATGACCTTACCAATTCCATGCTTTAAATCTGTGAGGTAGAAGGAAGTCTCTTTTCTAACATGGTCATCCCATTTATGGAACAGATAATATTCCCACAAAGCTGACCAGAAGATGGAATTGTCCCTCTGGCTCCAATTTAAACTAGACAGTAGACGGCTTCTGGTTTGGTGCCAAAGCTTCAGTGAATATAACCCACAAAGAGGGCTTAAGGGCCCAGGCCAGGACCCAGGACAGAATATTCAACCCTAAGAAATAAAAATACTGTCTTCCCCATCCCTGAAAAAAGTTCTTAAATTTTGTAGCCCTGATACTCAGCACTGTAGTTTTATTACTTAAAGTTTGGCTAAGAGATTTATCAGATCCTGATTTGGACTTGTTCTTTCCATAGCAGACTGCACCATAAGCCCTATAGTCCCCCTTTCTTCTCTTGGCCAGAACACACACTCACACAGACACACACGCCACTGGTCTTTCTAGAAAAGTGATTTTGTGAAATTCTAGAATGAATTGCCTGGGTGCTATTTCCTTGACCCTATGAATAAACTGCAACAAGCTACTAGATAAATGCCAGTCCATTTCCTTGCATGTAAAACTGTGATGTCCAGTGGTTGGATTATCCTTTAGGGTGCTCTCCAGCTAGACATACTATGATTATTACCTGATATAGTTGAAAACCAGGCCCTTAGGCCATGCTCAGTAATCAGTTTGAGACTTTTCTATCAGTGTTTTAGGAACAGTTATTCCTCTTCACAATCTCCTATCCCACAATACATTGAAAGAACAGGAAGAAAAAGGTCTAGAACATATATTCAGAACACATTATAATGTTAATATTGATAATTAATAGAGAATGTTTTTTAAGTACCAAAGTGTGCCAGACAATTTGCTGAGCACTTTGTATGGAATATTATCATTTAATCAGAACATCAACCATATGAGTTAGGTTCCTATTTCATGAGGAAATTGAGTCTGAGACTGAGTTACTTGCCCAGGTTACACAAATAAGTGCAAAGCCAAGACTTGAACTCAGGTCCTTCTGGCTGTCCTGATCCAAAAATAAAGGAGGTAAAAAAAGAGCTCAGGAAAAATTTTATAAAGGCTAAGAAAAAGATCTGAAAACATCCTGGCACATAACCAACCTGTCATCAGGAACCCCAGTGATGGCAGAACAAAATGGGTTATTTTTCCATATTTTTTTCCTAAATATATTGTTTTTGATAATATTACTTTGCACTGTCAAGTCATCGGACTGATCAGAATTAGAAGAGGACAGAAGTCTCACCTCTCTCAAAAATTGGTCTTTCATCTCTTCTTGGTCTATCGAAATTGAAATGGCAAAATCTGCTTTCAGGATTCCAAAAGAGTAAGCACCTGAAAAAGAAAGTGCTACCTAGTTCAGGGGGATTACCTGTAACCGCTTGAAACTTGAAGTTCACAGCAGTCAGTAATGCCCTTGGATACCATAGATGCAATGTGGTGATTAAGGAGTTCTAAAGGAAAAAGAAGGGAAACTGAGGACCAAGAGAATGCTCAGCCACAATTAGGACCATACAACTAGTGTCTGGAAAGAAGAGTCCCACACTTTAGTGTAACTTGGTCCCCCTTCCCCCTGAAACACAAACACACAAATGCACACACATCCTGGCCTCCCATCAGGAATTATTTTCCAACTCTTTTGTATTTTTTGCCTTCCTTTTAATCTGTTAAGGAGATGTTACACACTATGCTGGAAATACTCGCTTCCTGGGGGCTCTCTGCCCCAGAAAACTCTACAGTAGAGTTTTCTGCCATGAGCCAAACATAATCACCATAGGAATTACAGCCTCATAGAAGGACTGTTATAATTGGATAGCATTTTATAGTTTAGAATGCACCTTTACATAAGTATCTCATTGAGCATTCACAACAAACCTGTGATCCAGGCAGGTACTTTTCTTTGTCCCTATTGAAGATGAGAAATAGAGACTAGGAAGTGAGGAAAACTGCCCCTCAAGTGTTCATTGTAGTCACTAGCGATCACACTAGAATCCACATCTTTAATTCCTATCCCTGTTCCCAACATTCCATACTATCTTTCACAAAAAGGTCCTGACAACCTGGGCTAAGGACCTACTGTCCAGACTTAACTACTCAGTTATTAGAGTGGAACTTGATAAATAGAAGCAGTTACCTGATTCTGGTGCTGATGTTTTTTCTTTAGATTCTGGGTGGCTAGATGAGCTTAAATGTTGGACCCGAGTGGCAGTAACTGTGTCTCTATCGGTGCAACCGTCTACTCTTGTCACAGCTAGAGAAGAGGGAAATAAAGGCATTGCAACTTCAGCCAGGAGTAAGGTATTTGACACTGAGTCAGAAAGGCAGCCACTGCCATGCACTCAGCACTACAGAAACCACCCTTTTGTGGGAAGCTTAGTTCCCACCAATCCTCAACTTACCCCTGCAGGCTCTCATGACAACCCTTGAGTTGCTACACCATCATCTTTCAAAAAGCACCCCAATGTCAGGATTTGTAGGGCTTGAGCAATATTATGAGGCTTGTCCTCAGTCCCACTTTTTTCTTTCAGTAGTTCAGAGTCCAAGAAGCCCAATGCCCTTATGTTATCTGCCAGTTACACACAACCTCACCATGGCAACCAGGGACACTTGATACCTCATCAAGGGATAGAACCCCAAACCAAGCGCAGCCTCTTTCCCAGCATCCTCCCTCTTCCTGTGTAGCTGGCCACACACTGAGATGTCCTAGCCTCCCCAGCTCTCTCATGCTCTGTCACCAAATCCTGTCGGTGGCTTGCAGGTCTTTTTTTATTTTTTTAAATATGGACATATCCATATTTTATGGTATATTATTACAAATTATTTAAGCAAAAGTACCCCCCTTATCCAACCTAGGGACGACCAATACAGTTTGCCATAAAATATCTTTCACACATTGAATTTTAAACATTTGAATGCATAAAGACATACCTTATTTCCTTTAAAGGCTGCATAGTTTTTCATCAAATGTACATAACTTATTTAACCAATCTGCTTTCAATAGACATTAGATTGTTTCTAATTTTTCACTGTAGAAAACAATGCCACAGCAAACAGCCCTGTATGGAGGGTGTGTGTGCATGGCTATACTCAGTTCTTATTTCCTTATTTCTAAGGGCAGAATTTCAGTAGGAAAAATCCTGCACCTTTCAAAACTTGACACCCTCTGGCCAAAGGGCAGCACTAGTTTCCACCAAGCCCCTGTGTTGGCAAACTGTGTTTTTCCTACATTCTCACCACCCTTTCAAATCTTTGCCAAATTGGTAGGTGGAAAAAAATGAATTTTTAAATAATTTTTAAGTATCTTTTTTTAAATCTGCATTTTTATGATTTAGTGAACTGCGCATTTTTTAATGTGTTTGTATTGGTATTTCTTTGATTAGTGTCACTTGTGAACCATGTAAAATCGATTCCCTCGTGACGCTCCCCACCCGGCACCCCCAGATACCCCTGGATTCCACTCCCCATGCTGTGCACCAGCCCTCCCCACGTACTTCCTAGTTCACCTCTCCTGATGGCCTCCTGTCTACTTTCCCCAGGAAAAGCCTTATACTTTTCTTCAGTAAATGAACAAATTTGTAAAATTTAGAAACATGAAAGTAGGGGACACCCATATCCTCATCACATTTTCACACACTTCCTCCCAATCTTTTTCTAACCATTGATGGTTGTTTCCTGTCACTGTTGGGACTATTGTGTGTATAATTGGAATCATGCTTTTTAAATTTAGCATCCTAATGCTAATCCCATGTTGTCATTACCCCCTTGCTTCTGGAAGCAATGAATTTGAACATTTTGCTCATTTGCTAAATCCTCTGGTGGCTCATTTAACTGCAGAATTAGGCCCCAGTCCACCTTTTTCCCTCATGCCCTGACACTCCTTTCCCCGGTCACACTAGACTGTTTGACAGCCCCAAACAAACCACACACTTTGATATCCGCCTTAGCCCAGGCAAGGGAGAACTTTCTGGTACTTCTTGCCAGTGAAATCCTTCATTTTACCTTTTGTCCAATTACTACTTTATATTAAACCTTGTTCAAAACAGGTACTGAAGAAATTGTTATTGAATTAGGTCACCTGTGTGCAAAACAGCATTCTAGGCATGGGAGAGAGAAAAAGAAGTATAAAACAGCTCCTTCCCGTGACGTTCTGCAATCCTGACAATTCATAATCATGTGTAACTAATAAAATGAGAATGAGGTGAGCCCCATCTATCGAGTAAGGTAAAGCAGGGGTTGGAGAAGCGAAGGTATTAAGCCTGTTACTAGTGAATTGAGATTAAAATGGTAATAATTACCATTTACTGTCTACCAGATTGGAGAACTGAGAGGCCCTTTATGGCATTTTCCTTAAAGATTAGAGAAATAATGTTCAGAGAGGTTATAAAACTTGCCTAAGGCCACACAGTAAGTAGTTCAGCCAGTGTTCCAACCTTTGGCTGTCAGACTTTGCTCTTGCAGGTAAAATAGAGTATTTCTCTCGCGTATCTCCCTGCCCTACTCCCATCTCCATCCTAAATTATTACTGGGGGAAAGATGGGTTGGTGAACTGGCTCTAACCAAAATGGAGCTCCTATACAGTGACCTGGGATACAGCGCAGCTGACCATGGCCTAACATGCAACTCCAGCCCTCAGCTCCCCAGCTTGGGGTCTGGCCTCTGAAGCCCAAGAAAGGACCTCCAACCCAGGCCAGAGTGAGTGCTCACCCCGCAGAGACTCGGGTGGGCTGGCATTTGAGTTCCTGGCCTGTGGGAAGCCATTCTCCCACGTGATTGGGCACCCCACCCCCACCCCATTGGGTGTGACACGCTCTGGCTAAACTGTGTCGGAGCTTTCCCCACCCTCTCCAGGTGCAAGAGCCTGTCCTGTGGGGGTGTGACTGACCACTGACCCTGACCTTGGAATGCTGCCCCCCTCGACCTTCATTGGATGGAATTTTCCCCTGAATTTCTTATTCCCCAATCAAAGGCCACTCCCTGGCGTGCTCTCTCTCTTTCCTGCTAGCCCTGAGTAAGCCTTGCTGCCCCACCGGGTGGTTCGAGGTGAGAGCCGTCTCAGACCTGGTCATAGAAAAAGGTAATTGAGGGCTGGGGATGTGGCTCAAGCGGTAGCGCGCTCGCCTGGCATGGGTTCGATCCTCAGCACCACATACAAAGATGTTGTGTCCGCCGAAAACTAAAAAATAAATTAAATTCTCTCTCTCCCTCTGTCTCTCTCTCTCTCTCTAAAAAAAAAGAAAAGAAAAAGGTAATTGAGTCTGTGTGTTTTATTTTGATCTCACTAGTTAACTTTTATGCCACGAACCTCTTTAATGAAACCAGTGTGCTGGTGGCCTGGTGGACTGGCTGGCTCTCACCTGTCTCCGAGAGGGCTGCCTGGCTTGGGGCTGCTGATGCAGGGCGCGCAGTTGCTCCTTGGGACTCCGCTGGGTTCCCTGAGACTGGTGCAGCCGAAGTTCTTTCTTCAGGCCCTGAAGAGCTCCCCAGAGGCTCGGAGCCGAAAGACCAGGTGAATGTGGAGGACCCAGGTGGACCTGCTGATGTAGGAGCCTCTGGGGCATCACGGGTGGAGTCGAGTGAGGGGTCCTCAGTCACCACCTGCAGAGTCACAAGCCCACCATGGGTAATAGAGTCCCCCCAGGGCACAGGGTCACCAATGCTCCCAGTGGTGACAAGGGAGGTCTTGGCCATTTCCTGTGGGATGGAGGGGCTTCCTGGAGACGCAAGACCAGCGGGGGTGAGTGACAGAGGCTCAAAGTCCAGTGACACACTCTGGGCAGTGGATCCTGAGCCCCTCCTGGGGATTGGAGGTACCTCCCAGGGGCCTGGGGTTTGCCAGAGGGCTTGTTGACACTGTCCCTTGGGGCATCGTGGGGCCTGCTGAGGTGGGAGCATAGGGGTCTCTGGCACCTGGGTGGTGGGCTGCAGGCTCCCCGGCTTCTGTGGCCACTCTGCTGTAACCTGGTCCTGCAAGGTACCCGCGGGGCTGAGGCTGGTCCCTAGGGCAGGAGAGAAGACTACTGTGGGATCAGCTGAGACCAGGACCCCTTCAAGGACCCAGCCACAGGCCAAGGTGGGGCCAGGGTGGCGCCAGAAGCGGTGGAGGGAAGAACCCTGCGTCAGGCCCTGGGCTTTTGCTAGGCCTGGAGGTGGCCGGCCTTCGGAGGCTGGGGTGCACAGGAGTGACCCCACCAGGGCCGGCCCAAGCAGGCAAAGGGCCTGGGACTACCAGGGGGTGCCAGGCTAGACCTTAGAGCGGGGAGACGGGCTCTGAAGCAGCTTCTGGAGAGAAAGGAGGCTTGCACCCCTCAGCGCCACCGCCCGCACATGCGCACACTCGCAGCTCCTGTTAGCTGCGGTGGCCCACCCAACTCCCCTGGGTGTTGCAAGCCAATTCCTCCTCAGCCAGTGGTATAGTCACCCCTCCAGAAACCGGATAATTAACAGGAGCTGGGGCGCTCTCCTTGAGTCCCACCATACCCATGACTACTACACCAAGTTTTGCTGCTGTTGGTTTTGGGAGTTTCGGTTTGGTTTTTGGTTGTTGGTTTTGTTTTTGTTTTTGGTGCTGGTGACTGGACCCAGGGTGTTTTACCACTGATCCACATTCCCAGCCCTTTTATATATATATATATATTTTTTTTTTTTTTTTGTTTGTTTGTTTGTTTGTTTGTTTTGAGACAGGGACTCACTAAGTTCCTTAGCACCTTGCCAAATTACTAAGGCTGACCTTGAATTTGCCACCCTCTGCCTCCCAAGTTGCTGGGCTGGGGCAGGCTCCATCACCATTTTTTAATGTTTGAATAGTGAATTAATAAAAGCTCTGTTTGACCTTGATCAAGTCCCCTAACTTCTCTGTATCCTCAAAAAAGGAAATGACACCTTTGTCTGATGTGGGAGTTTATAAGGAGACTTAGGAGAACTGTAACTTTGCTCTCAGTTATGCTAGTTAACTTCAGAACTCCAGGGAAGCAAAATGAGGTAATAGCTTAATAGCTATCACTGTCATTCACAGCTACGTCCCCATATGTAGTCCCATCTCTCCTCTTCTCTCCCCAGAGAGGATCCCCTAATCAAAAGGCACTTTGACTGGCCCCTCTATGGTGCCCCCCTCTCTGGGGCTGGACCTCAAGAGCTCTCTGATGATTTTTCTCCAGGAGCATTACTCAGCCTCTCTCTCTCTCCCTGGGCCAGGTCCAAGTCACCTTACCTGAGAAGACTACACAGCCTCTCAGGGGTCCCCTGGCCCTGGAGCTACAAGTTCAGAGGCCTAGTTCAAGGAGAAGGGAGGTTGATGGTGATCAAATCCTCCTGGCTCATCTCATTTCTGGTCCCTCACTGGCTCTTGTGGGTGAGTCCCAGGGGCCCCAACCTGGGCTACTGCATGCAAGCCACCTTCTCTACTTCCCTAGGCCTGAGAGACTCCAGATCCAGTCAAAAACAGGCTCAAAGCACCTATGCTCGGCCTGGGAGTGGTCCCCACAGTAACATCGGAGGAGGAAGCAGACAGGAGCGGAGGCATCTCTGCCAACTCCCGGTGTCCAGTGACAGAGTCTGCAAGAAAATACAGAGAGAGAGCATGAGGGCAGGGTCTGTCTGTCACACGCAGCAGGCTGTCAGCCTTGAAAAGTCACACCAGGCACCCTGTTCTCCTGCCACGGCAGCCAGACTTAGAAGGGCGCAGTTACTGGGTACTGTGTGCTGATCACTGGGAGGGGTCCCTGCACCATCACCTGTCCTCACAATAGTCAAGAGTTATGTATTTAACAGATAAGGATCAGGATTCTCATCATTTCCAAAACACCAAAAGGAACAGCCAGGAATAGGTCAACCCCCAGCCCTCCACCCCCGCTGAGGGACAGTAGATGAGGGCTTGATGGGGGAGCAGGGAGTGACTGCCAACAGGTAAGGAGTCGTGATTATACACAGATCAGGAGAGGCCTCCGGTCCCAGTACCTTCAGAGTGACAATAAAAATCGAAATAGCTGATATTTGTTAAGTGATCATTCTGGCCAGGGTCTCTGGTAGGCCCTTCCCCGCAGGCAGCCCTCAAATCCATCCTGTGAGCTGGGATCAGCAATCTCACTCTGTTAAGTATATTTCCTAGATGAGGCTCAGAGATGCTGCCCACCTGATTTCTAGACGGTGGTGAAATCTCCCTGATTCCAAACCCCAGGATCTTATTCATTTCATCATCCAGTAACATTGCTGTTGCTAATTGCACATGTCCTAAGGCTAGAGGGGTTCTATTCCATTCCCTAAAGATCCCCAGAATTAAAATAATATTGCTTTATCACAAGTTTATAGTATAAGGATTTTAGGAACCTGCTTCAGAATTATTATTCTCGAAGCCTGAAAGTGCTTCCTTAGGTCTAGCCTTATTGTCTCTTGCTGCCAAGTGGACCCATTTCCCATCTTGTTTTAGCCTCAGTGACCTGAGACCAGCAGAAGTGACTTCTCACGCACCGTAGAAGCAGATGAAGGGTTGCAGGGAAGAGCAGACCACTGTGTAAACCTGAGGGTCATATTTTGAGTAGGCCCGGAGTCCTGCACACAGTCCTCTGTCAAACTTAGGCACCAGCAGCCAGCTTGGGATGCTGGCACCCAAGTCACTGGACCAGTTCAGAGACCTGGTTTTTGCATTGAAGTAGAGGCCAATCCAAGCCTCAGTCTCCTTTGTGACAGACTTCAGGGCCTGCTGGCCTGCCTCATCAGTCACCGTCTGCAGGTCGGCCAGGTCTGTGTAGTGGCTGCGACAGTACTTCAGAGCCGAGGTCCACGTCATTACTTGTTCAAATCTCATGAAGGTATATCCACCAATCTGGACCTCAGCTGGGGGCAAAGAAGAGAGATCACAGGCCTGAGGTCCTGGATTTCTGATAGCCCAGCTCCGTTGCCCCTGGGACAGAGCTGTGGTCCCCAGTCCTCAGGTGTTAAGTTTGATCAAAATCACAGTTTTAAGGGCTGGGGTCGTGGCTCAGTGGTAGAGTGCTTTCCTAGCATGTGTGACGCACTGGATGCGATTCTCAGCACTACGTATGAATAAATGAACAAAATAAAGGTCCACCAACATATAAAAAAGTATTTTAAAAAACCCCACAATTTTATAGACAGACTAAATATCAGGTTGGGAAAATGGATGGGACAGATATCATAGCTGATCTATGGGAGAAAACATTAAGGAAAGCAGGAATTAAGCGCTCTTCTTATGACCATATGGCCCTAAGAGTTAAGTTTAAGGCTCGATATCTTCATCTGTCCAGTGGGGATAATAATAGTACTTAAGGTCAGGATCACACGAAACCAGGTATATAATTAGCTGAGCACAGTGCATGCAAACAGCACTTAATAAAATGGTGGTTACAGTTTGGGGGAAAGTTAGGAGGGAGTCAAGATGATCCGGATTTGAGTTGGCCTCATTTGTGATCTCCAGGGGCTACACCTGCCTCTAGGGCGGAAGGAGAATGGAGGAGCAGTGGGATGTGCCTAGGCTCACAGTGTCAGGCAAGCCAGGGAGAAGAGGGGAGCCTGGTGCACAGCAGACCTGAGGAGCAGGCGCAGCAGACCATCCCCCGTGGCCTGCTCCCCAAGGAGCAGACCAGGTACCAGCCTCCCACCTCCACGACCTCCAGTCCCTCCCTGACACTAGACTGGGCCAGGTCCCAGAAGGAGGCTGCCCACCGCCAGGCCCTTCTCCTCTGCAGTACATAAGCCCAGGCCTCTGTAACTCCACACACGGAAAGTTTGGAAAGGATATGAGCAGCTGGCACCCAACCTGACATGTTGATTCCGGAGGCCTGGAAAGGAAGCACTGTCTGCAGAACCTGGGGCACATCCGAACATTCAAATAAGGCCTCCCAGACTCTCCCACAGGCCTGCTCACCCCCAATTTGCCACTATTTCCCTAACACTTTCCTTATCTAAATTGATTTGTTTAAGTTATCCTCTATTAAGCACCTGGTCACGTGGCCTATGTCATCTTTTTAAATACTCTATTCCTGAGACATAGATATTAATTGCATCTCATAGACAAGGGAAAGGAGACTAAAGGAGACATAACTCACCCAAACTCATGTCAGATTCACTATCAAGAAGAGACTCGAACCCAGGTCCACCTGCCTTGGAAGCTTGCCCCATTCCCTCTACCCCTCCTTATCCAGCACACGCAGAAAGCCAACCGTACAAAGCAATGGATCAACTGTATTTTGTTTGTCATAGAATTTCTAACAGATCTGAAGAAACTCTGGAGTAATAACATCCAAGGGGTTAAAATTTGAGAGAAATCACCCTCTCTAGATGGATGGGTCAGTACACAGGGTGTAAAGAGACACTGCCCAAGTCACCTAGTCAAGCATGTCACCTCCCCCTCTGGACCCATCTGAATAACAAAGGTACTAATCTCTCCCTTGGTTTCACTCTGGGGACAGCAGAGCCCATGGCCAGTGGGGCAGGGGTACGGTAGCAGAGGGAACCCAGCCAGGTAGAGGAGTTCAAGCAGAAAAGAGAAAATGCGGCAGGTGTATACCTTGCTTTGGAAGAGTGGTCAGGCTGAGATAGGGCTCCACGGAGATGCGGTGCTTTATGTCAGGGTCTGTGAAACAGAAACAGCCTGAGTTATGTGGACAAGGGTGAGGCTGCCCTGGCTCCTCTGTGGGCACCAGCTGCTGCCACGTTAGAGCCCAGAGAAGCCTCACTGAAGGCTGGACAGTTTGTTCCTTTCTACATTGATCCAGTAAATATATCCTGAGCACCTGCTGGGTGGCCAGGGCTATTCTATGCCCCTGGGAATGGCAGCAATAAAATAAGCAGGGTGTTTGCTTGAAAAGAATAGGAGAAGGAGCCAGCCTGCCCTGGGCAGAGCAAGGGCACAGGTCCAAGGTGGGAAGGAGCTGTATGGGTCTGGGGAGCAGAAAGATGTGGCTAGAGAGAAGGATGGAGATGAAGCCAAAGAGGTCAGGCAGGGCCTGTTGGCTGTAAGAAGGATGGTCTCCTAATTGCTAGGAGGACCTACTGAACTTGTTTAAAGACAGTGATCTGATTTATGGTTTGTTTGTTTCTTTTGGGCGGGGGATACAAGGGATTGAACTCAGGGGCACTCAAACACTGAGCCACATCCCCAGCCCAGTTTTTGTATTTTATTAGAGACAGGGTCTCACTGAGTTGCTTAGGGTCTCGCCATGGCTGAGGCTGACTTTCAATTCGTGATCCTCCTGCCTCAGCCTCCCAAGCTGCTGGGATTACAGGCATGTGCCACTGCGCCTGGCTTGATTTCTATTTTTTAAAGCTCACTGTGTGCCCAGAACAGACTGAAGCAGCAAGAGGGCCCACTCTTCTGAGTGAATGGTGGTTTGGCCTGTGTATTGGCAGTGGGTCTACAGAACTGAGAAGGAGAGCGTGGGGTCAGGACATGTCTGAATGGAGTTCTAAGACAATGGAGGGAGCAGGGAAAGACCCCCATACAGTCCTTCCTTTGCAAGGTCTCCTCACTCCAGGCCCCCTTATCACCCGAAGAAATCTCTTTATTCTCCTGGCAACCCAGAGTCCAACTCTAGGCCACCACAGGCGATGACTCAAGGTCCCATGACAGACATGGTGTGGCCGTGACCTGGGAGTAGAGCAAGCTGACCTCCATGCCCCTATTTGCATGGAAAGAATGGTATGGTCTTTGACTGACGAAGAAAAGCAGAAACTGGCCCTTTTTATCAGGAAAGTGCTGTCTGGTCTTCACCCATCTCCCTGCATGACCTTCTCAGCACCAGAACTGGGCTATGAGGGGCGAGACCGGACAGGTGGGGGGCAAGGATGGGAGGCTGCTCCCCGAGAGCCAGCACCATGTCATCGTGTACTGATGGCAGACTTCCTGAAAAGGTGTCCAAAGGGACTGGTTCCACCCACTGAGCTCCCAAGAAGCAGGGCGTCTCCCAGGGGTGGCTACTCCACACTCTCCCACCACCAACAAGGCAGTAAACCATGAGAAAGGGCAGGTCTTAAACTCTGCATAGCTGCAAACGGACCCTCCACGTCCACAGCCTTTACTGACAGAAGGAAGAGACACAGTGGAACATTCCGTATTTTTTTCTGTATCCTGACTTATACCCATTTCTCTAATGGGGTTTTGGGAATGGGGTGGGAATAGAAATGAAGACCACAGAGAAGAGGTAACATGGCAAAAAAGGTAACAGCCTATTACAGTCCCCACCCCACCCCACCCCACCACATGCTTCTTTAAGAGCCACCTGGGAGGAAGAAGGCTAGGCTCAGAACTTGAACCTGAACACACCTTCATAGCAAATGAAGGGCTTCTGTGCCGTGCAGACGTCGACCCCCAGCATGGGAGCAAAGGACAGAACAGAATACAGCGTGACACACATGCCCTCCCCGAGGGCGGGCAGTTGGATCCACTTCAGTTCAACGTAGGGAGAGCCGCTGGACCAGCGGGGGCCAGAAATACTCATGTCAAAGAAGAGGCCGATCCACGCCTGGGTGGGCTGGATGAGCGAGCTGATGGCCATCAAGCTGCTCACGCTGCTGACGCTCTGCAGGCTGAGGAGGTCCGTGTGGTAGTCCCGGCAATAATCCATGGCCTCTCTCCAGCTCAGCGGTTGGTCCTCCCGGGAAAAGGACTTGCCGTTGTTCACCAGCTTGGAGGCTGGAGCAAGAGCAGTGTCACCACTTGGCTGCCCCCACTCCACCCTAGTCCTTCCCTCACTTCTGGCCTCCAATGCACCCAGCCCTGCCCCCCCCACTTCTGCACTAGCTGTGCTCTTGTTTGGGGAGGGCTGGCCGTCCCCACCTAATTCTTCAGTCTCCTAATTTCCCAATCGGTCACCACCCCTTTGCTGGTCCTGCATTAAGTGCCCACCTATGTGCTGCAGCGCCCCTTTGTTAGGAATTAATAATAATGGGTAATGCGTACTAAGCATTATGACGTGCCATAGCTCACCAGATTCTTCCAACAACTCCTTGGGATAGCCCGAGGCCTGCTTTACAAATGAGGAAACCAAGTCACACAGTTAAATGGCCTGGACAAGGCCACCCAGTGGGGAGTGGGTAAAGACAGGACTCTAGAACCTCGGGTGGAGCACCCAGCTCCAGTACTGCCCCTACGCCAGGGCTCCCAGCTGGCTCCACAGTAGTCCCCCAGCGCGCTCCTAAAGAAGTGGATTCCCAGCTCCACCTTAGAGCAAGGATCTGAGTTACTGTGACCCGCATCAGGATTTCTAAACTGCTCCCAGGGCAAGGGCCTTTTCTTCCTGTCTGTCTCCACCACCAGGTCTGAGCAAGCTGGGTGCACAAAGCAAACCTTAGTCGTCATTGCAGTCCTGGTGCCTGCCTGGCACATGGGGAGTGCTCAATGGATAGGAAGGGAAGGCAGAAAACGGGGAACTTCTCCCAGGAACTCAGCCCGAGCCCCGAGAGCTCCATGTTCACTTCCTTCCTGCCTTGACTCTCTCCCCTTATGGGGCTCCCAGCAAATGCCAGCTGACCCAGGACTCCTCTTCCAGGTCCTGCCTGTGCAGGCGGCAGACAGGAATGAGGGCTCGCTGCTAGGATCCCAGGGGCGCCTCGAGCCAGATGTCCCGGGAGAGGAAACTAAGACTGGGACCTGGGCATACAGAGGGGCAAGAATGTGCCACAGGGAGGACAGGGAAGGGACTGATCAGGCATCTGCCATAAAGAAGAAGCTCCTCACACCCACCAAAGTCCAAGATGCTGCCTGTCACCAAGAAGGGCTGGAGAATCCCTGTGCCGGAGAAAGAGAATAGAAAAAGAATGTTTTCTCCTTGGGATGTGTGACTCATTTTAATATTTTTTATTCTTCTCTGTTTAATGTTTTGAACTGGTGGGCTCTGGGGTCGCACTAATGGATCACACCCAATAGTTGGGAAAGGCCTGGGACCTGGGGGTACCAAGACCCTGGGATGGACCACCTCCAGGCCTTGAGCAACGCCCCCTTGCCCACCCAGCAGTCGCTGCTGCTCCTCTCCCTGCAGTCCTGACGTCCTGTCAGTGGGTCTTACCTGCTGTGCAGAGGGAGAGCAGCAGCCCCCGTGGCGCCATGGCTGTGGGACAGGACGAGCCCCTGGGGGTGCAGCTCACAGGTGGAAAGCCTTCTGGCTTCTGGCAGAGGCTCTGCCTGGCCTCCTGGCCATTTCTTCCCTGCTCTCCATTCTTCTCTTTGCTATCCAAACTGACAGATTTGACTAAGCAAATACTAATTCCAGGCCTGCTGCTTCCAGGGCCAGGGTGAGGGCTGGGGAGGCATCAGAGTAAAGCACAGATATCCCCGTCCTCCCTCAACTCAGGCAGAAGGAAACACAGAGCAGGTAATTAATAAGCAGAGCCTGTCCTAGGTGCTGGCTGCTGGTGGAGGGAAGGAACAGGGTGTCAGAAGCCAGATGAGTAGACCCCTGGGATTCTCAAGAGCCAGAGGAGCTAGGGACAGGGTGGAGGAGAGGGACAAGGGGACTAGGAAGGGAGAAGGAGCTAGCATGTGCGGGCCAGGTTGTAGCAGACTGTCCCTGCCATCCTCATGACAGCCACATCAGGGAGACCACCATGATCCCCACAGTTCAGGGGAGGACGCTCAGAGAGATGAACAAACTTGAGCAAGACAAGTGATTCGGCAGCGAGTCAAGCCCAAATCACCGAAGAGCATGGGGTGGGGACACGAGGACCCCGATGAGCCCTTCTTCACTGACGAAAATACCTCGCCCCACAACTCCCCAGTCGGCTGCACACGTGGGATCTCCCAGAGATGAGCAGGAGTGTGGCCAACTCCATCAGGGTCTTGGTGGCAAAGAGAATCCACATTAAGCTCCTTTAATTGTTAGGAGGGTTGGAGAAAGAGGGTTGGAGGCCCAGGAACAATGTTCAGAACCACCTTGAAGAACTCTGGGTTCAGATTTAGCTTCCACTGAGAGCTAGCACCCACACTCTGCTCATGACTCATCGTAGGCCTGGGAGATAAACCAAAGCCCAGTTCACATCCTCCATACCAAAGTGGACCTGCCTGCATGGTTTTTTAGCTCTGTTAAGTCTAAGCTAGATCAGAGCAGTCACATATCTTGACATTAAATTTAAAAAAAAATGTGGAATCCATTGAATTCAAGTTCTAGGAAAACAGACAGCCTACCAATGCTCTCTACCAATGAAGGAAAAAAATCCAGGCTAAGGATGTGGCTTAGTGGTAGAGTTGTTGAGCTGCCTGGCATGTTGGGGCCCTGGGTCTGAACCCCAGTGCCACAAAAACAAATTTTAAAAGGAAAAAAACACCTACTTCTTAGTCTTTAAGTGCACTCAGATGCTCCTGCTCACAACTCAGTCACCTTGAGAGCGTCCGCCAAGACTGGCTGAGCCCTGGCTGGTTTTTTGGCCTCTCACTTCTCTCTTTTACCTTGGCTTGCTCCACAATGGCTCTCAAAATCTGCCATTGGCTCCTCCATCTGGAGGCTCATTCAAGCATTAACCTCAGTTCTCCAAGTTTCAGGAAAGAAATGCTCTGTCCCCAGTCCAGGCCCTAGGACCTCTACCAAAGGAAGAAGATTCACACTTCTGGAAGAGTCTTCATGTGAATTCAACTCAGAGTTGCTAATGACCTCAGGGGCAGAATGCCCGAGAGAAGGAGGTAAATCAGATGTGAAAAACCTCAGCACTATCTCCAAGTTCTGCAAATGCTTGGTCCACTCTGAATTCTTGTCCAGGTCTGGTGGATTGGGCCCCAAAGTAGACATCTTCAGGAAGGAGTCAAGTTCAGGGAGCTTCGTGGGGCTAGAAACAAAGGCTCCTGGGAAGCAGGATACAGATTCTCATCTAAAAGGACAATGGCAGAACGCAAACCCCAGACAGGTCAGGTAGTGTTTTGGGCAACTGAGTGGGCTCCAGTGCTCGTCAGAGGACTTAGAACAGGAGGAGAAGCTTCACCCCATACCCCACATTCTAGTGGCTGAAGGAGGGATCAGCCTGCTGTGGGAGGGTGGCTTCCAGCGTCTTCTACAGCCGTGGGTCCGGGATAGACTGGAGCTATTGTACTGGAAAACCCTGTGCACACAGATCATACTATAATCTCTGTCTCAATGTGCCTACTCATTGGCCAGCCAGGTAACAAAGAAGTTGGTCTAACCCTGCTAGCTCACATTGGATCAGAGATTTCATCCCAGGTCAATAGCCAGTGTAGATTTTCCCCTTGGATCTTGTAAATTACCTCCCTTTTATTCTAAAGCCACAAGAACTCTAAATCCAGTTTACTTATAAGGATACTTGGTGGAGTGCAATAAGAAAGGAAAGTGGGGCAGGGACTGGTGCCTGCTCCTTAGATCTATTTACCCTTATTTTCAGGAGCTTGGCCACACTGGCCAGCATCCTTTGCAGTCAGGTGTGGCCTTGGGGTGATGTTCCAGCCACGGGAATGTGAGTGGGAGAGTCCTCCTAGGATGGACCCATGGAGCCTTCCATCTGTGAGGAAGGACACCACATGAAGCGTAGTCCCCCAAAACAGCTAGTTCAAAGAGTATATGGTGTCCCTTGGCTTTGTTTCAGTGACAAATGGGAATCTGAAGGTGTCAGAGATGGAGAGGAGGCTGTGAGGGCCTGGAAGAGCGGCTGGAGAGAGCCTTCCAGCAGGGAAGCTGAAAGAGGCAGGAGGGACATAACTGCCCTCCCCTATTTGGGTCCTGTCCAAAGACGGAAAACTAACTCTGGAAGTCCCAAGAGCCTCCGGTGGCTGATGGCTCTTGCCTGGTCTCACATCGCAGGCTGCTCCATGAAAGTTAGTTGTGGGTACAGTAATGGGTTCCCCTGGGCTCCTGGAGCCTGGCCAGTGTCTCCCCATCGTGAGGAATACACAGGAGAGAGAAGCCCGCAATCCTCACACTCCACCTTAATGAAACTCTTCACTCACCACCAGCTATATTGAAATAGCTGGAGATTTACAATGAGCTGTTCAGATTATGTTTTGTTCCTGAAATAGAGGTTCATATGATACAAACCTCTAGTCTTCCCACTGAAACAATATAATAGGATTAAGATTCTAGCCAAAGTCTTAGACACAATTTACAGAAATGATTGGAAATCGCATGGTGATCACTGTGTCAATGACTAACATTATCTGTGTGCTGCATAGAATAAGCCTTGCAGGGTGTCTGTTAAATCAATCAAATAGGACAGTTCATGAAACAATCATATGAATTCTCTAGAAAATTTATGTAAGAGCTTCCCTGGGGCTATGAAGCAGGCAGCTTCCCTATGTGAGGACGGCCACCCAGAGTCTAGTGTATTGGGATATGAACTGCTGGGTGCCAGAGAAACACATTAGCTGGCTCACCTATAGGGAACTATGTCAAGTGACATTGATTGGAGATGACGACTCCAATCAACTCCATCAAACAGCTCCAATGAAACATTCCATCCAAATCAAAGGGCTTTAGAACATTGGGCCCCCAGTGGTCAAATAGGCCCCTAAGCACCAAGACATTTTCTTCCTGTTCTCTGGGCCTCCACACAGGTAGTGACTGAGCCTGGGTTTCATTGTGGGCTAGAGCCTGGAATTTGTACTTCCGCAATCACAAGAAGCCAAAGTCAGAGGCTAAAGCCCATTTTTTAACACCACCCTTTCCAGCTTCCCTCAACATTATTTTCATGAAAGTGGAAGTTTTGAAAAAAAAGGATCTTTGTAAAGAAAAGAAATCCAAATGATATCAACTTGGAGAAAGGAGACATGTGGATGCCTCTTCCTCTCAGTTTTAAATATCCCTTTTCCCCAGATTCTGCTGGAACATCAGTGGGCTTTTGCTCGGTGCTCTGGTGTACATGGACCATGCTGCCAAGGGTCCAGGAGCGCACACCTGGTGTTCTGGGGAGAGCGGCCTCAGCTTGCATGGAACAAGGCCACACTGCGGCAGTCCCAGCAATACTGCTTCAACCCAGTCTCCACACAGCTGCAAAATGATCTTCTTTTCTAATCTTCTGAAAGAAGAATGTGACTCATTTATCCAGGTTCACCAAATGGATTTCCCCAGCCATTCAGAACCCATCAATACCAACCGTGATGTATGGTAAATACTTGAGAAGGCACAGCCCGGAGCTGTGGTCTGCTGTTAGATTTCTGTCCAAATGATGATATCATATGCACACACAAGTGTGAGGGGGGCACATAATTTACTTAACAAAGCAGTTTCACAAAGAGCCCTTGATTCTTTTAAATCCACTTTCCTAATGCATAAGGCAGTGAGCTCCTGCGCTGTGCTTGGCTAGAAGGCAGCTCACCCAACAGCTGCTTAGCTAAGCAAAGGAAACCGCCGCAGTCCACAAGGCCCTCAAGCCAAAGCAAGAGGAAGAAAGACATACCCTCTCCCAAGGGCTGGAATGCTGAGACAGAGCCAGTCATTTTCCCACAGTTCCCTGATCTGCCTTGTCAAGGGTCTTTGGACACTGGAGAAAGTGCCCTCCTTCCCTGTGGCCAGCAGATCTGGGAGGACTGAGCTAGGTGGTAAAGGAAGCTTACAGTTGGACTCCTCAATTACCCAGCAGGAAACAAGGCTTGGAAAGGAGGCCGCCCCTCCCGACTCCCCAGCTGAACAGTGACACAAAAGTTCTCCTTCAGTTGTGATGAGTCCCATCCAGGGCTGTCACCAGTTAGGGGGCTTGGCAATCACCACCTAGGAAGTGCGTCAGAAGCACTGTGAGCGGTGACTGTTTTCTGATGGGCCACGTAGTCCACTGGCCTTCCGGATCAGCTCTCCGCTGCTGGGCTGTCTGCTCTGAGTGCCCAAGCTGGCCTTTTCTGTGCCGACTAGTTGGCCTTGAAACAAGGGGAAAGAAGGAAGTGGGATACCCAGTTAGGACAGAAGGGAAATTAGACTCACCAACTGGGATTCTAAATGATTTTAGGCCCCATGAGAATGCCATGTGCCTTTCACTCCCCATTTTAAGCACAAATTACGACTACCTCTCAGAATGGCCTTTCCTTTGGGATTCCACTCCTTTCGACAAAGGCTTTCTTGCCTTTAGCCCTGTCCAGATACTACTTCTTGCCCCAGCCCACTTCCAGGAAGACAGAAGAA